ATTAACATCGATAAAATGTCCATACTTCCTAAAGCAATCTATAGATTCAACGAAATCCCTATCAAAGTTCCAACAACATTTTTCACAGAAGTAGAACAAAGAATCCTAAAATTTATATGGAACAACAAAAGACCCCAAATAGCCAAAGGATTCCTGAGAAAAAAGAACAAAGCTGGAGGCATCACCCTCCCTGATTTCAAATTATACTACAAAGCCATAGTAACCAAAACAGCATGATACTGGCACAAAAACAGACAACAGATCAATAGAACAAAATTGAGAGCCCAGAAGTAAACCCACACGTTTATGGACAGCTAATATTTGACAAGCGAGCCAAGAGCATACGATGGAGAAAGAAGAGTCTCTTCAATAAATGGTTTTGGGAAAACTGGACAGCCACATGCAAAAGAATGAAAGTAGACTATTCCCTTACACCATGCACAAAAATCAACTCAAAATGGATTAAAGACTTGAATGTAAGACCCGAAACCATGAGACTTCTAGAAGAAAACATAGGCAGTATGCTCTATGACATTGGTCTGAGCAGCATATTTTCAAGTCTCATGTCTGACCGGGCAAGGGAAACAAAAGAAAAAATGAACAAATGGGACTACAGCAAACTAAAAAGCTTCTGTACAGCAAAGGAAACCATCAACAAAACGAAAAGACAACCTAACAATTGGGAACAGATATTTGCAAACCATATATCAGATAAGGGGTTAATATCCAAAACATACAAAGAACTCATACAGCTCAACAACAAAAAAACCAACAATCCAATTAGAAAATAGGCAAAAGATCTGAACAGAGATTTCTCCAAAGAAGATATGCAGATGGCCAACAGGCATATGAAAAGATGCTCAACATCATTAGCTATCGGGGAAATGCAAATCCAAACTACAATGAGGTATCACCTCACTCTGGTCAGAATGGCTATAATTAACAAGACAGGAAACAACAAATGTTGGAGAGGGTGTGGAGAGAAGGGAACCCTTGTTCACTGCTGGTGGCAGTGCAAACTGGTGCAGCCACTATGGAAAGCAGTATGGAGTATCCTCAGAAAATTAAGGATAGATCTATCATATGATCCAGCGATTCCACCGGTGGGTATTTATCCAAAGAACTTGAAAACACAAAGGCATAAAGATACTTGCACCCCTATGTTCACTGCGGCATTATACACAATAGCCAAGACATGGAAGCAACCTAGGTGCCCATCAAGGGACGAATGGATAAAGAAGATGTGGTATTTATACACGATGGACTACTACTCAGCCACAAGAAATGACGAAATCCGGCCATTTGTGACAACATGGATGGAGCTTGAGTGTATTATGCTGAGTGAAACAAGTCAGAGGGAGAAAGTCAAATACCATATGATCTCACTCATAAGTAGAAGATAAAAATGACAAAAAAAAAAAACCCCACACAGCATTGGAGATTGGACTGTTGGTTACCTTTGGGGGAGGGGGGAGGGCAAAAGGGGTAATTAGGCTCACATGTGAGGGGATGGACTATAATTAATGTTTGGGTGGTGAACATGATGTAATGCATACAGAATTCGAAATGTGATGCACATCTGAAAAAAATAAAAATTAAAAAAAAAGAATTGCAAAGGAAACAGAATAGCTAAAAACAATTATTTAAAAAAGTATATCAAGTGGGAGGAATCACTGAACTTTATTCAAAAATTTATGATATAGCTACAGTAATCAAGACAGTGAGGTATTGTCAATGGAACAGACACATAGATCAATGAAACACAACAGAGTTTCCAGAAACAGACCCACGCAAATAACACCAAATGATTTTTGACAAAGGTGGAAAATCCATTCAACGGAGGAAGGATAGCATTTTCAACAAACGATGCTGAAATAATTGGACATCATAGGCAAAAAAAATGAACCTCAACCTAAACCTTACAAAAAATTAACTCAAAATAGATAATAAAATAAAATGTAAAATAAATTACAAAACTTTCAGGAAAATATCTTTAGGATCCAGGGCTAGGCAAAGAGTTCTTAACTTGACAGAAAAAATATGAAGAAAAATTGATAAATTGGACCTCATCAAAATTAGAAACTTTTGTTCTGTGAAAGACCCTGTGAAGAAGATGAAAAGACAAATTACAGATTGGGAGAAAATATCTGTAAATCATATACCTGACAAAGAGCTACAATCCAGAATATACAAAGTACTCTCAAAAGTTAACAGTAGCAACAAAATACAATTAGAGTATGGGAAAAAGACACAAAGAACTGTTTCAACAAAGAGAATAAACAGCAAAAACACACATGAAAATATTTTCAACATCATCAGGGAAATGCAAATTTAAGTGACAATGAGATATCACTACACACCTATTAGAATTGTTAAAACAAAGCATAGCGATAACATAAATGAAAGTGAAGATGTGGAGAAATTATCACTCATACATAACTGGTGGGAATGTAAAATGGTACATTCATAGCAGGTTATTTGTTAACAGTCAAAAACTGGAAGAAACTCAACATGTCCATCAATGAATGGGTGAATGGTTAAACAAACTGTGGCCTGTATTTAATATGCAGTACTATTCAGCAACAACGACAAACTACTAATATACATAACAACTTGGATAAATATTCAGGGAACTAGGTTTGGTGCAAATAGCCAATCCCAAAAAGTTACGCACATATACATCTCTACAACATTTTTGAATGCACAGTGGAGGAGCACATAGGGGTAAGGAGGGTGTGGTTATAAAAGGGTAATACAAGAGGTCCTTGTGATGATGGAACTATTCAGTATTTTGACTATGATAGTAGATATACAAACCTACACAAGTGACAAAATTGTATTAAATACATACACACAAACAAATGTGTACAAGAAAAACCAGAGAAGTCTGTATAAGGTCCGAGGATTGTATCAACCTCAATATCCTGGTTGTGATATTTATACTACAGTTTTGTAAAATGTTACCAATAGGGAAAACTGGCTAAAGAGTACACAGGACTTCTCTGTATTGTTTCTTAAAACTGCATGTGAATCTGTAACCATCACATAAAAATTTCAACTGAAAAACTTGGCAAGATGGTAGATGTTAAAATAAAAATTTACTCCAATTAAAAGTACTCCAGTAGAGGGCAGAGATTATCAGACAGGATAAGAAGCAAGAGCTAATTCTATGCTCTTGAGAGCACAGAAAAAAAGTGAGCCAAAAAGAAAACTCACTTTAAATATAAAGACAAACATAGGTAAAAGAAAAAGATGGAATTAGCTACACCATGCAGACACTGATCATGAGAAGCTGAAGTGGTTATATCTAACCAGAAAAAGCAGATTTGAGAAAAAGGAATTTTGGCAGGAATAAACAGGAAAATCACACAATGAAAAAAAGACATAATTTTAATGTGAATGCTCTGAAATTAGAGCTTCAAGTTACATGAAAATCTGACAGAACAGAAAAACACAAAATCACAATTACAGTCGTAGACTTTAACACTCCTTTCTTAAAAATTGATAAAAAATTGAGAGAAAATCAGCACAAATATACAAAATTTGCAAAACATTATCAACCAACTCGACCTGACATTTTAGAACATCTTACCCAGTAACAGCAGAATACCTAATCTTTGCAAGTGCCCATGGAACATTCACCAAGAAAGAGAATGTACTGAGCCATAAGAGAAGCCTTGAACTTAAAACAAATGTAGTCATAAAGATTTATATTCTCTGAACACAAAGAAGCTAAATGAGAAATGAAAAACAGAAAAATATCTGAAAAATCTAATATTTGGAAATTACACAAGGCTTTTCTAAAGAATCCATATCAAAAAAAAATCTCAAGGGGGCTGGCCCGGTGACACAGTGGTTAAGTTCATGTGCTCCGTTTCAGAGGCCCAGGGTTGGCAGTTTCGGATCCTAGGCGAGAACCTACACACCGCTCATGAAGCCATGCTGTGGTGGTGACCCACATACAAAATAGGGAGAGATTGGCACAGATGTTAGCTCAAGGCCAATCCTTTACACCAAAAAAAAAGAAAAAGAAAAAGAGATCTCAAGATAAATTGGAAAATATTTTGAACTAAATGAAAATGAACACGTAACTTACAAAATTTCTAGATGCTGGAGCGAAATTCAGATTTTAAAAGCTTACAGTAGAATAAAAATAACTTCAAAATTAATGACCTACATTTCTATTTTTAAAAGTTAGGAAAAGTACAAACTAATCTCACAATAAGTGAAAGGATAAAAATACAAAGAAATGAACAGAAGTCCATGAAAAGAAAAATGACAAACAATAGAGAAAATCAATGAAACCAAAACCTCATTCTTTTGAAAAACACAATCAGTAAAACTGATAAAGTTACAGCAAGACTGATTAAGAAAAAGAGAAAACAAACTACCAATATTAAGAACGAGATGGGTGACATCAGTACAGATTTAGCTCATAGGCTTACTCTTCATGAACATTGACACAAGTCTTTAACACAATATTTGCAAATCAAACTCAGCAATATACAAACGATACATCACAATCAAGTGGATTTTATCCCAGAAATACAAGGCTGTCTGAACATTCAAAAATATATAAATGCAATTAATCACACTAGAAAAGTAAAAGAAAAAATCACGTGATTATTAGATTTTATGTTTAAAAGACCAATTGACAAAAATCAACATCTACTCATGATAAAACTCTCAGAGAACCCGAATAGAAAAAAAAAAAAAAAAAACCTAAATCTGAAAAACCTACAAGTGACATGAAATATGGTGAAAGATTCAATGCTCCCCTCTAAGATTGAGAGTGAGACAAGGATATCTTTTGTCACCATTTCTCTTCAGCATTGTAGTAAAAATGCAATAAGGCAAGAAAAAAGATGTAAAAAGCACGAAAATTAGAAAGGAAGAAGCAAGTGCAAGAGACATGATCATAGACAGAGAAAACCTTAAGGAATCAAAAAAGCTACCCAAGCTAAGTTTGCTAATCAAGGTTAAAGGAATTAACGTCAATACACAGGGATCAATTGTATTTTTATTTACTAACAAAACACAATAAGAAATCACAATTAAATAAACAATACTATTTATAATAGCATTCAAAACCAAGATATACTTAGAGGGAAATTTAATAAAACGTGCAATTTCCGTACTCCAGCAGCTATGAAACACTATTGAAAGAAATTAAAGATCCAATTGAAAAGAGAGATATATTCATGGATCAGAAGTGTCAAAACTAAGAAGTCAGTTTTCTCCAAACTGACTTACAAAGTCAATGAAATTCTAAAACAATATTAAAGGCAGCCTTTATCTTTTTTTTTTTAGAAATTGACAAGTTCATTCTAAAATGTAAGTGGAAATGAACAGGCCTGGGAATAGGCAAAACAATTTTGAAACAGGAGAACAAAGTTGAAGAATTTATACTATGTCATAGACTTACTAAATGTAAGGGAATACAGGTAGTGTAAAGAAGATATATAGGTCAGCGGAACAGAATAAAGGGTCTATAGGTAACCCCCACACACACGTACAAATACAAAGAATCAACTGGATTTCAAAAATGGTGGCAAAGTAATTCAATGGGGAAAGTATAATCTTCTGAACAAATGGTATTGAAATGATTGAATATGCAAGTGGAATAACATAAATCTCAACCCTTACCACATACTACACACAAAGATGTACTCAAAATAGGTCATATACTTAAACACAGAGTTAAAGCATTTAGAAAATGTGAAAAAAATCTTTGATATCATTGGATCTGCAAATATTTCTTTGATAAGAAAAAAAATAAGCTGGCCTTTATCAAAATGAAAAGCTTCTTTGGAAAAGCCACAGACTGGGGGAAAACATTCATAATTAATAAAGAATTCTTAGAACTCAGTAATAAGAAGACAAAAAACCCAACTAAGAAGTGTGGCAAAGGATTTGAACAGATGCTTCACAAAATAAGATACACGAATGGCCAAGAAGTAAGTGAAAGATGCATAACATCATTATCCATCAGGGAAATACTAATGAAAACCACAGTGAAATAGCAAAATACAATCATTAGAATGGCTACATTCAAAAGGGACCATACCAAGTATTCGGAAAAATGTGGAACAATCGATTTGGAAAAACGTGGAACAATCAGAACTGTTACACATTGCTGACATAAATGTAAAATGGAACAACCACTTCAGAAAAGTTTGACATTACACATACTAACCCTACAAACCCTGAAATTTTACTAAGTATTTATTCAAAAGGAATAGAAACATGTCAACACAAAAATGCACATGAATATTCACTGCAGCTATATTCATAATAATCAATAACTGTGAACAGGTGAATCAATGAACTGTAATATATGCATACAATGGAATACTACTCAGCAATAAAAATGCTACTGACACATGCTAAAACAGGGGTGAATCTCAAAATCATGCTAAACGAAAGAAGAAAGACAAAAGGGAACATCTTGTACAACCCCATTTATATGAAAGGAGATTTTTAAAAATTAATCTAACCCAGGGATAGAAAGAAGATTATCAGTTGCTAGGGGCCAGGAGGGAGAGGGAGGTGTCAGGAGTGACTTGGAAAGGAGCTAGAAAACTTTCTGGATAATGGGTATGTTGTCTATCTTAATTGTAGGAGTGATTACATGTGGGTATACTCTTCTTAAAACTCATCAAATTGGCTGCTTAAATAGTGCATATTTTATCATGTTTAAATAATACCTCAGAACTGATTTTTAAAAAACTTTCAAGCATTACCATTTTAAGAGTAAAACTGAAAAATCTGAAAACTTTGATAACAGGAAAATAGACAATATCGTTATACTTACTCATATATGCTTTATTAAAATGAATTGACTAGAACTAAATATATAAACACATACATATATCAAAACTATTCATTTGAAGAAAATAGCAAGTTGCGGAACACAGGTCCCCACTGATATAAATACTTACAAAACAGTGTAATTATGCACACACACACATGCAATAATGTATGTATGTTATTACTGTAAAAGTAATGAGATGCGGGATCAATATAAACCAAACTTAGTAAAGTATTGAATGTGGTAAAGGTTATAGGACGTGGAATGCGTTTGGGGATGTTATGCAGATGCTTCAACTATTCTTCTAATACCTTACTTCCAACATGCAATAGGTATACTGATGGTTATGTTATTGCTCATAATTTGACACACATATGAAGTATTTCACCAAAACAATACCAAGTTTCTGTCCCCTGAAAGGGTGGGCTATAATTGGGTCAACAGGCTTGGAGTCAAGAAAGTAAGCTATGATGAGCTTCCCGTAAATTTGAATATATGACCTCAGTATTGAGATCATATATCCTAGAATATTCTAGGCATTACTCTAGCTTTATTCACACATTCAATGGTGTTTGCGGTTCCTGAACCTAAGAAGAGGAGGCAGATGCAGCCTCAAGGCTGTCTGTGGCTGGTCTGGTGTTTACTCTGGTGTGGGGCTGGCCCATCCTGAGATCCCCTAGAAGTACATCCCAGGATGAATCAGACCATTAGGCATTATTTGCAGAGGTAATAGCGTAGTTGGGGGACAGACTAGGCCAAAACATGTGATGGTTCATGATAGGGAGGGTCATGCTGATATGTGTTTCTCCAAAAGTGGAATCAGAGGCTGAGAAAATTATTCAATTTATTTGTTTTTAAAAAGAAGGTTCAAATTCCACAGTTAACATTTTTATGTCTATTTTTTTTATTTCTACTGAAACATTTGAGATCAGAGCAAAACAAAACTTTAGAATAACATCATATCTAAAGGAAAATTTCTGTCCATATTTCTTAAACTGACAGACCTCCTTCAATACACTCTTCAGACATAATAAAGTCTGAATTTTGTTACATTCAAAACATCTTTACGAATTCATCTCAATATCAATTGTCTTGTTCAGTAAAATGGCATTTCTTGATATAGGCTCAACTACATTTGCTGCATCCTTTGGGTATCTTCTCTATTATTTCTCTGACATACAGTGAATACAACTTGTGTATGAGGGTCTCAAAAAACACAAGACGTTAACAATTTTTCCCAGGTTCTGGTTTATCTGATTGTTATTAATGGCCAAATTCTGGAGGAAGAATTTCCTACATCCATTTGGGTCACAGAGATTATCTCCTATGTAAATTTTTCATTTAATAAGCTCTAACTATAATAAAACTATTTCCCCACATTCCATACATGCATTAGGAGGGTTTCTTCTACATGTTTTCAGTAATTTTTAGTGGTCCTATTTATAATAGATTTTCAAACATTCACCACATTCATAGTATTTTCCCCTATGTGTATTCTCTTATTTAGTTTGGAATATGACTTATGGTAAAAGATTTGTCACATTCTTTACATTCATAGGGGTCATGTTCTGTGTGACTTCTCCATAGTATTTTGAGGTGAATGAATCACTAGAGAAAGATTTCTCTCATTGCTGTAAGAGTCTTTCCCCTGTAATTTTGGATGTGCAGTGAGAACTGATTTCTTAGAGGTTTTTCCCACACTCAATACATTCCTAGGGTTTCCCCCTGTGTGTCTTCTCTGATGTACTTTCAGGCCTGAGTTGCAACTGAAGGTTTTCCCACAATGATTACATTCATAGGGTTTCTCCCCTGTGTGTGTTCTCCTATGTTTAGTGAGATCTGACTTATGATAGAAGGACCTTCCACATTCAGTACACTTATAAGGCTTTTCCCCTGTGTGTATTCTCTGATGTACAGTGAGGACTGACTTCTCAGAGAATGCTTTCCCACATTCATTACATCCATAGGGCTTCTCCCCTGTGTGAGTTCTCTGATGTGATCTGAGGACTGAATTGCAAGTGAAGGTTTTCTCACACTGACTACAGTGATAAGCTTTCTCCCCTCTGTGTGTTCTCTTATGTACTGCATAGTCTGACTTATAATAGAAAATTTTCCCACATTTCTTACATACATAGGGTTTCACCCTTGTGTGAATTTTCTGGTGTACAGTAAGGTATGAATTTCTAGAGAAGAATTTCCCACACTCCTTACATTCATATGGTTTCTCACCTGTGTGAGTTCTGTGGTGTTTAGTGAGGTCTGATTTATTGTAGAAGGTTTTTCCACATTCATTACACTTATAAGGTTTTTCTCCTGTGTGGATTCTCTGATGCACTGTGAGGACTGATTTCTCAGAGAAAGATTTCCCACACTCATTACATTCATAGGGTTTCTCCTTTGTGTGAATTCTCTGATGTACTTTTAGGCCTGAGTTGCGACTAAAGGTTTTCCCACATTGAATACATGCATAGGGTTTTCCTCCTATGTGAGTTTTCTGATGTTTATTGACATCTGACTTGTGACAGAAGGTTTTGCCACATACCTTACACTCATAGGGTTTCTCGCCTGTGTGAGTTCTCTGATGTATTGTAAGGTATGAATTCCTAGAAAAAAATTTCCCACATTGATTACACTCAAAAGGTTTCTCACCTGTGTGTATTTTCTGATGTATTGTGAGGACTGAGTTGCTTATGAAGGTTTTCCCACATTGATTACATTCATAGGGTTTCTCCCCTGTGTGAATTCTCTGGTGTACTGTGAGATAAGACTTATGGTAGAAGCTTTTTCTACATTCCTTACATTCATAGGGTTTCTCTCCTGTGTGAGTTCTCTGATGTATTATGAGGTGTGAATTCCTAGAGAAGGATTTCCCACATTCATTACATCTATAGGGTTTCTCTCCTGTGTGGACTCTCTGATGTAAAGTGAGGAGGGATTTCCTAGAGAAGCATTTCCCACATGCATTACATTCAAAGGGTTTCTCTCCTGTATGTATTCTCTGATGTTTGGTGAGTTTTGACTTTTCGCAGAATGCTTTTCCACATTCATTACATTCATAGACTTTGTCTTGTGCATGTGTTCTCTGAGTTACATTAAGAACTGACTTCTCCCAGAGAGGTTCTCTCAAGTTGTTACATTCAAATGTTCTCTCTCCTCTGTCAGGAAAGTTTGATCTCCTGCTGAAATTACCCACTCTTTCAATACAATCATAACCTTTCACCTTCAAATGAGCTCTATGTTTCAAGAGACATGACTTCTCAAAGGTTTTCCCATATTCATTAAACTCATAAAGATTTTCTCTTTTTTCTGTTATCTTATGGACCATGTAGGTTGAACAATTACAGAATGTTTTATCACATTCCTTATGTTCGCAAGGACTCTCTCCTATGTGAGCTTGTTTATAGGTGATGACAACTGCTTTCTCATGGAAATCTTTCCCACTTTCCTTGTATTCAAAAGATTGCTCTACGTTTTTACTTTTCTGATATGGAAAGAAGTCTTCATTTTGACTGAGGTATTTCTGATTTTGAATGAATTCAAAAGGTGTCTCTCCCATATGAGTTTTTTCACGGTTAATATGAAGGAACAATTTCCCAAATGCACTGAGGTCATCAGGCTTCTTTCTTAAATAATTTTTCTTATTAATAATTAATTCTGAAATGTGTCTCAAACTCATACCACATAAATCACATTTACTGGGTATTTTTATGGAAGGAACTAGGTCTGTGCTAAAATTAAACATATTTCCTAATACATTACCTCTCACTATAGTCAGTGTTTTGTTGTTGAGAAATGGAGCTTGCCAGAAATGTCTGTCCTGGATTTTGTGACTCTGTTCCAGTTGGTTATCAACTTTGCAGACTTCTAGAAAGGAGAAAAATAACCATAAGTTAAGAATCATATTATAATTATGATGAAATTACACATATATACAAATGCCCTTTTATATAGTTGATTTAGTTTCTTAAAATAAGAATAATCCACCATGTTCACTTCCCCCATTCTTTTGACTTAGAAAAAAACAAACAAAACCTGATAAGAGTGAAAAAAGGTGACAGAAACTCAGAACACACACATCTACATTTGGTAACTTACAAATATTTACCTCAAGACTTAATATAGAGGTTACAAATAAATACAAAGCACAATGAATACAGTAAAACAGATTTTGAAGGAGGAAAAAAACCCAGCTGATCCAGTGAGATGAAAGACAGAACTAAAGAGACAACAAGATTTGTAGTTATGAGAGCCCTGGAAAAATATCAGAGGAATGATTCAATTTTTTGAAGGAAGCAGCTCAGACTTTACATAATTTTCTCCTTATACTTACATTATTGCAGCTAAATTCTATGATTTACATTTCCAGTTTCATTCTCCTCTTCTAAAAATCACTTTTATTTTTTATTATGTATTGTTTATTTTGTATAGTGTTAATATCAAATTAAATTTCTGAAACCACCAATTTTTCATGCCTAAGGAGTCCTGTAGCCTAGTTTCTAACTCTCCCTCTACTCATGTGACTTACAAAGAATACAAATGTCTACCAGGAAATGTAAAATCAAAGAGAAAAGAAAGAAGACTGCAATAGGACCAGATCTGTTAGTTGTTTTTAGTTGTGGTACATTCAGCTTATTCTCTCAGAGATTGTTCAAAAGTGAACCTATTCTACCACCAGATGCTAACTTTTCCTCATTTTAAACTTGCTTTGACACAATATTAATACTTTTTTTTCTTTTACACTCATATTTCCACTTTTCTGGGTTTTCTTGATATTTAAAACCATGGAAGACCTGACCTAAAACAGTCATTGATACTTATATTTGTTTACCCTAAGAATTCTCAGGAATAATTCATGTTGTTGTCTTCCTGCTCAGCATATAGACTACAACAACACCAACTGTGTTAGAAAATCTGTCCAGAAACCACTGTTTCCAAGCACCATTAGACAAAACAGACCAAAGTTACGATTCTGGGGAAAAGAAGACTTTATGCCAACTACATTCATACTCAGTGTCAAAGCTGTTATCACTCCACAAGTCCACAATAAGTGTCTTTCTTTCTAGACATGCCAGACCATAAACTTGCCATAAAATTGTTCAAGTTCAAGCTAGAATTTCACTCAGCTGGCTGACATTACCATTTTAGCTTTCTCAGAACTCATGCATTCTTCAGGGAAATGACATTGTCTCATTTCTTCTTCCAAATAAGTCTTCACCAACATCTCTAGAATTTCCATTTCTATTTACTTTGAAATTTAAAATTACATTCTACACATCTCATTCTATCTCAACATTAGATAATAGTCCTTTGTATCATAAACATTCCCTGTCAACTACAGAAATTTAAAACACTTCAGTTTCTTTTTCCTATTTCCAACTACAACCTATGGCCTTACAAGTGTTTATCTCTGATTTCCTTTGAATACCTCACAGTGGCTATGAAATTAATGCTCCTTAACAAGTAGTATGTTTTTTCAAAATACAAACCTCAAGTTTTATATATACTTGTAATTTCTGAATAAGAAGCTAGAGGTTTACAACCCAACATGTGCATTTAAAAGTTAATTCCTTGGAAGCGACGTCAGCGTCATGGTGAATGAGCTTGCCCAGCACTCTTTCCCCTCCAACATACAACAAAACGAAGCATTCAAATTTCAACAAAAAATATCCTAATAGCACAGGAATCCTCAGAGACCCACAGCAGCCAAATGACAGAGGGCGGAGAGGCTGGAGCCCCCCTCAGAGGATCTGGAATGGGGTAAGAGAGAACTTCGCTTCCCCCTCTCCCCAAAGACTGGGATGCTCCTGCAGGAAGCTCTGTGAGGGGAGGAGTGGGGAAGGGGCTGTAAATCCCCAGGATCACCCAGGACCCCCTAGGGTCCTTGCAGCCCAGACAGAAGCCCCCTAATGGGGCAAAAGCTTTCACATGTGGTGACCTCCTCAAGCCAAGACCCCACGAGAGCAGATAGTGAGAGCTGATCAAGAAACCAGGGTCTGCAGACAAGAGAAAGTGTACCCCCTCCCCCAACATGCACTGTGCCGGCCATCTTGGCTGAAGGTGGAGGTCTCAGAATACATGGCTCTCCACCTCCATCTAGTGGCAACACGCTGTAACTGCAACCGAATAATATCAATGGACAAGACCAGTAGTTCCAGCATCTGTCCATCTTCCAGCATCTGTCAATTCATCAAATCTCCAGACCAGAGGGAAAGCAAGCACCCAGAATTATGTCCTGAGAATTCAGAAATAAGTAAACTAAACAACAATGAATTCAGAATAGCTATCGTCAAAAAACTCAATGAGGTAAAGGAAAATATAGAGGAACAAGTCAACGAGTTCTGGAGTTACTTCACAAAAGAGATTGAAAGTATAAAGAAGAATCAATCAGAAATACTAGAGATGAAAAATACAATGGAAGAAATATAACATAATATGGATTCCCTGAATGCCCGTGTGGACGCCATAGAGGAGAAAATCAGCATAATCGAAGATAGACAGGTTGAATGGTTCCAGACAGAGGAAGAGAGAGAACTAAGACTAAAAATGAATGAAGAAAATCTCCAAGAAATAGCCGACTCAATGAGGAAGTGCAATATAAGAATAATTGGTATCCCGGAGGGCAAAGAAAAGGAGAATGGAGCAGAAAGCATGCTCAAAGAAATAATAGCAGAGAACTTCCCAAATCTAGGGAATGAGAGAGAAACGTGTGTGGAGGAAACTTTCAGGTCTCCTAGATATGTCAATGTAAAAAGACCTACTGCAAGGCATACAGTAGTAACACTGGCAAAAGTGAATGACAAAGAAAGAATACTCAGGGCAGCAAGGCAGAAGAAAATAACCTACAAAGGAACCCCTATCAGACTTTCAGCAGATTTCTCTGCAGAAACCTTACAAGCTAGGAAAGATTGGAATGACATGTTCAAAACTTTAAAAGATAACAATCTTCGGCCAAGAATACTCTATCCAGCAAAAATATCCTTCATATATGAGGGAGAAATTAAATCTTTTCCAGACAAACAAAAGCTAAGGGACTTTGTAGCCACAAGACTCCCCCTACAAGAAATCCTAAAGGAGGCCCTCACACCTAAAAAAGAAAAAAAGGGAGAAAGGGGTCACAAAACACAGAGTAAGGAGACAAACAGAATCAGAATAGAACAGCAAATATACAACTATAGCATTAGGGTAAAGGGAAGGAAAACACCAAAAACAAAGACAATTTTAGCACACTAACCACAAACACACAACACAAGTTGGAATGAGAGATGACAGTAATAACTTAGGAGGGGAGGAGGAAAGGGACTGAATCAGTTTAGGCTAAGGAAATAAGAGGCCACCAGAAAGTGAACTATGTTATACATGAGATTCTGAATACAAACTTCAGGGTAGCCACTAAACTTAAAAACAGAACAGAGACACAAAAATAAATAAGGAAATAAGAAACTGCAGAAGTCAATGGGTAGGCCAAAACACAGAGGACTCTTACAATCTCCCAAAGCTAAGTCAAGAAGAAGCAGACAGTCTGAACAGACCAATCACAAGGAAAGAGATTGAAACAGTAATCAAAAACATCCCAAAGAATAAAACCCCAGGACCAGACGGCTTTCCTGGGGAATTCTACCAAAGTTTCAAAGAGGATTTCATACCTGTACTTTTCAAGCTATTCCAAAAAACTAGGGAGGATGGAACACTTCCTAACACATTCTACAAGGCCAACATCACGCTGATACCAAAGCATGACAAGGACAGCATGAAAAAGGAGAACTACAGGCCAATATTGCTGATGAACATAGATGCCAAAATCCTCAACAAGATTTTGGCAACTTGAATTCAGCATTACATCAAAAGGATCATAAATCATGATCAAGTGGGATTCATACCAGTGACACAGGGATGGTTCAACATCCACAAGTCAATCAATGTGATACACCACATCAACAAATTGAGGGATAAAAACCACATCATCATCTCGATAGGTCCAGGGAAAGCATTTGACAAGATCCAACAGCCATTTATGATAAAAACTCTGAACAAAATGGGGATAGAAGGAAATTACCTCAACATAATAAAGGCCATATATGACAAACCCAAAGCCAACATCATACTCAATGGGCAAAAACTGAGCATCATCCCCCTGAAAACATGAACAAGACAAGGATGCCCTCTATCACCACTCTTATTCAACAGAGTGTTGGAGGTTTTGGCCAGAGCAATTAGGCAAGAGGAAGGAATGAAAGGAATGCAAATAGGGAGGGAAGAAGTCAAACTCTCACTGTTTGCAGATGGCATGATCTTATATATAGAACCCCAAAGAATCCACTGGAAAACTTTTAGAAATAGTCAACAACTGAAGCAAAGTTGCAGGATATAAAAATCAACTTACAGAAATCAGTAGCATTTGGGAAAAAATATTTGCAAGTCATATATCCGACAAAGAGTTAATCTCCATAATATATAAAGAACTCACACAGCTCAACAACAAAAAATCAAACAACCTGATCAAAATATGGGCAGGAGACATGAATAGACATTTCTCCAAAGAAGATATACGGATGGCCAATAGGCACATGAAAAGATGTTCATCATCACTGATCATCAGGGAAATGCAAATCAAAACTACACTAAGATATCACCTTGCACCCATTAGAATGGCAAAAATAACCAAAACAAAAAGTAACAAGTGTTGGAGAGGTTGTGGAGAAAAAGGAACCCTCATACACTGCTGGTGGGAATGCAAACTGGTGCAGCCACTATGGAAAACAGTACGGAGATTTCTCAAAAAATTAAAAATAGAAATACCATATGACCCAGCCATCCCACTACTGGGTATCTAGCCAAAGAGCTTGAAGTCAGCAATTCCAAAAGTC